AAGCCAGCATCTGATCAGAAGTATTATATAAAATCTTTCCTTAAACTGTTGAAAGGTGCTTTGATGATTTTTGTCCTTTGGTTTGTAGAATTAGGACTGAACTTTTGACTCTCTGCTACAGTTGCCATCATTTTTCTGTGGTAAAACTACTGATACTTGCTTTTCTATATAAAGGAATGTTGCCTAAGGATGTCTGGTATTTGTTTTCAAGGGTGGATTTTCCCCGTATGAATGTTGTCAGTGTCTGTGTGAACTGAGCGTTTTGTTTCTCTCTGTTGGGTTTTGTTTTTTAGTTTTTTGTTCTTGTCAGTAGTTCTGTGTTAGCACTGGTTAAGCTTTAATTGTCTCTTTAGCCAATCAAATGTTAAAGACTATGGGGTTTTTTTGTTTCTTTTTCTTCTTCTTTTTTTTTTAACTGTCATAGTGCATCTATTAAATCTTGATCAGGGTTTCAAGAATGATTGCAGTAGGTTTTGAAAACAGACTTATCACTATTGATTTGGGGTTTCCCAGAGATTATAGTTCACAGTTAGTTGTTGAGCTCTAATACAACTGACCATTTAAAATTGAACAACCATTTATTGTTTTTTAACAATGTCAGTTGTTAAACCTTGACATTTCAATTAAAACATGAATTGTAGTTATAACTCAATGCAAATTCAACAGTTGTATTTGGAGTTAAATTATTTTAACAAATAAATTTATTTAATGAAAAAAAATAAAAAAAATAAAAGAGCCATGATTCACCTTACTTGACAAGTACTATTACAGACAGCTCAAGTTTGCCTTTGCCCAACTGTAAAAAAGAACAAAATAAGAAAATCATCTAAGCCAGGCATGGTGGCGCACGCCTATGATCTCAGCAGCACTTTGGAAGGTTGAAGCAGAGAGATAGCAAGTTTGAACACAGCCCAGGCTTAATGATTTATCAAGAGCCTGGGCTTAATGATTTATCAAGATCAAAATAAAAAAGAGGTAGGGATGTAGTTCAGTCTGGAGAGAGAGAGAGAGAGAGAATCAATCATTTAAATAAAAGTAACTCAGGGCCAGGGATTTAGCTCAGTGGTGCTGTGCCCGCCTCTCAAGTGCAAGGTCCTGAGTTCAATTCCCAGTACAAAAAAATAAAAATAAAAATAAAATGAATAAAAGTAACTGAGGGACAGTTAACTTGTTTAGAAGTAGCATCAATTTGCTTGATAATTATGTGTTAATTACTGTACCTTATCTATTCATTAACAAAGGTCAAGGGAACCTCTACTTAGTTAAATCTTTTTGAGTATTAATTGAAGTTGCTGTTTTACTTAAAAATAACTTTAAGAGTAGATAAGTTAGACTTCTTACTATTGCAAGGAATCTTGGCCTACTAATTAATTATACTGTCAAGGGTCTCCAGCTGACTCAGCCCTGAGTGAAGGAGATGGCTAAGGCACACAAGTAACACACAATTCCAGTACTGTTTGAGGTGAAATCTGGGAGAAAAGAACCCAAGGAGACAGCAGGCTCCTTAAGAAGTGTACCTGGGCCAGCCTGGGAGATTGGGAAGGGGCCCCAGAGGAGATGATATTTCTCCCAAGTTATGGAAGCAGAATATGAATTAACAAGGCAAAGACGGGGCTTGGTTGGGCTGGGGTCAGAGAGGTTTAGAACAGACAAATGAGATAACATGATCTGTGTATGGTAGGCAATGATAACTCCAAGTTATTAAGTATTTCTCCATCTTCAGGAGAGGATCAGTAAGAGATGGGAGCAGGGCCTCCAGGTAGGCAGGAGTCTGCAAATGAAGCACCTGATATGCCAAGCTAAGGATGGCATTCTTTATCCTGAAGGGCTTTGGTCTCGACACACCCTCAGAAACTCCTGGGAGACTTATCAAAATGCAGACTTCTGCTTTTGCTCCCAGAGATGCTGAGTCAACTTGCCTCTTAGGCTAGGTACCTAAAATTCCTTCTTTAGATGGTGAATTACATTCATTGATTTTCAAATATACAATCTATCTTACATTACCATATAAACTCTGCTTGGTTGTAGTGTATTTTTTAATATTTTGCTGAATTCTGTTTGATAATATAATATCAAAGATTTTTGTTTCTATTCATAAGAGTCAATAATTTGATTGACTAAATAATTGATTGATATTTAGAGCAGTCTGTTTTGGTACCAGAGTTTCCTCATCTTCTATTTTCAGCAAGAAATTTAGGTAGACCTGGTATTTTCTTTTTTTTAAATGTTTGGTAGAATTCATGAATGAAGCCACTTGGGCTGGAATATTTCACTGTGGCATGTTTTAAATTGCTAATTCAGTTTCTTTAATAATAATATGACTACTCAGGTTATCCAATTAATCTTGGATGAATTTTAGCAGTTTGCAGTTTTCAAAGAATTGGTCCACTTCATCTAAAT